CTTATATTGAGAATGGAATGCTAATCAGTGCTGTAAGACCTTTAACCTTTAGCGTGCTGCCGGCGGACTTGTCCGCCGAGACTAAAATGTCTCTCACAACTGCCGGCGGACCCGTACGCCCGATTTCAAACTTTTAAAAACTTTACTTTTTCGCGCCATTCGTATTGTCCAATTAGATTGCCCGATTTATTCAGTGCCTAACATGACTTCCTGTTGACCTAGAAATGCGATATTTCGAAAAATAATTCTCAATTCAACAATTTAAACAGTGTTTAAGTCGTTTTTAGTGAACGAATCGTACAAAATGGTGGACAAATACGATCACAACGAAAATGTGGAGGAAATGGATTACGATTTCGAGCTCTTCAGGCTCTTGGAAGCCGATAACGGTCATCGAAAATAGAAGCTAGAATATTTTCTGAATTGAAAAATTGAACATTTGATCGCTGCAAATTCAGATTTGGATTCTGACCAGACGAAGAGGCGGAGCGGCGGATTCCGGAGGAGTATTCATGGTATATTTATGCCCAGTCGTGTTAATGTACGAAAAAATTCATGAGAACATTTTTTTCATGAGCCAGGCCACTGTGTCTTCCCTTTGTGAAAATTTTATCCAGATTCATTCAGTAGTTATTGAGATATTAATTATTTAGTCCAGGCATATCATTTTTTGCACTCTGAAAAATAAGCCAGTTGCGTGGGATATATTTGCTGAAATAAGGCAGCATGGTAAAGGTTAAAGATGAGAATGACCTTTCCCAAATTGTCTAATCGGCCCTGCGTGACATGTCCTCAAATGGGTTCACTCATGTGTTTGGGTCATGGATACAGTACTCACCAAAGAGGAGCCTGTTTTTCAAAGTAGAGGATACATAGGCATATCAAATGATGTAAAACAAATGTAATTCCCACCACTTGTTGCATTTCAACTTTGATATGGCATGTACAAAAGGATATGGCATGTACAAAATGCTTAATGTCTCTGTAACTTTTTGCGTGGAATGTTGCCCCAGGTATTGTGATGTCATGTTACTATAGCAACAATAACTCTATCCAGGTTTCATATATTTTGTTGAAACTTTGCAGTCTAAGTAACGACACATGAAAGTAAAATATGTAAAATTTTGAAGACGATTGGTGCATATTTAACAAAACGCCAGCACCAGTCCTGTTACTTTTGGAACACCCTGTATATATATTACATAGGATTGTTTAATTTCTTCCTGACTCAATTTCCATGAACTTAACCATGCAAAACTGTCAAGGTTTACCATAGACTTAACGAGGAATTAATGAGAAGAAATTGGCTAATTCAAACGATTACATAATGTACTTTTCATAAGAAAATTGAAACTATTAAATTTACTTAACAATCAAACGGATTAGCCGATTATAATTGCTTATTATTGTTTGAAACATTAACTAGCAAATATTTCAAATATCAAAATAAATAAACGAAACCAGATGATATGATCTCACAGATAGAGAAAGAGAATATAAAAACCAAAACCAGAACAGGACATCGACAGCACTACTTTAAACACTTTTCAAGCAGCTCTTAGACATCAATAGTGGGTAAGTGATACTGTAGATTGGGTTAATTTGGCGCTACTAAGGTTGGCAATTTTGCTTTTTTGCGTATTAGTTGCTATTTAATTTGGAGGACACTAGGGCTTGTACATTGCTCTGACACCATAACTTCCATATAGACTGGAATAAAATACAAGTTGTTACACCTATTCCTTAAATTCAATTACTCTATCTAAGTAGTATGTGGAAATGCTCATTCATATTAATGTTGCTTCAGCTTATCCTTTTCAGATTTTGTAAAAACTAAACTGAAAGTGACTTAGACAAAGTTCTCTGGAAAATTCCCAGGGATCCTTTCTAAATTTTGGCAAAGATGTAATTTGATGTTTTTTCCATTTCGCCAAATTTAAGTGGGCGCAAAATTAATCCAATCTACAGTAGATATTAATAGTTGTTTTTGAAGGATATAAGTTGTACTTATTCCATCTATTAGAAGCATGTCATACTACTGACTATATGAAAATAAAAATATGAACTATTTTTGAAAATTCACTATGAACACCATTATTAATACCTCTCAGTTTCAAAGGTCGTGAGATCACCGTCCGGTTCATGTTTTTAGGTCACGCTATGCAGCTTATCACAATTATTCTAGCAATGAGATCACTGTTTGGTTCATGTTTTTAGGTCACGCTATGCAGCTTATCACAATTATTCTAGCAATGACCCTATTGGTTGGGTGCATCATGACAAATGATGAAGATGAGAATATGCTCTACAGTGAAACACCATGTGAAAAGGCCTGTAATGAAAAGTATGAATGCAATGGCGAAACGGATGAAGAATGCCTTGATAGACTCGAGGAATGTTCGGATCAGTGTAAATATGACTTTGTGATTTGAAGACAATATGGTATGAACAGTGAACAAACACTTTAACATATCAAATAGAAAAAATCATTTGAATAAAATTTAATGAGACGGTGAACAATTTTTGTTCTTTTAAAGTTAATTTGAATCATAGGATCAAATCTCATGCTATAAGGGCTTATGTGAAAAAGTCACTCCACTTTGGTGGGAATCGAACATTTTTTTAAAGATTCTTGTCAAATTATCACTTCAACACTGAAATCAGTTGAGCCACTCTTTGTTACTTAAATATTTCTGTCTTGTGAATGTGAGATGCTCTGAACAAAATAGAATCAGTAAGAGGGTTTCCCATGCAAGAACAAGCAAAGTGTTTACAAAGGTTTTGGTCCTTGTACATAAATATCGGTCCTTCCTTAGGCCGAGTATAAATTCATATAAAATGGTCTTGGAGAAATGTAATTTACCAAGAAATACCACTAGATCATGTGATCATGAGAAAAAATGAAATTCAAACTTCATGAAGGTTTGATAAAATGAGAATTTTATTCAAACAACGGCAACGCCAAAGCGTAGCGAATCCCATCGAACAGAAATAGCTGGCATTTTTACAAACGAAATATATAGCAAATATCATAAAATAACACACATAAGAAAGTTGTCATCAGAAGAAGTAATATGCTTTTTATAGTATTCACATGCCAAATATGAACAAAATCGCTCCACTACTTTTCGAGTTATAGTAAAATACTTTAAAATGGTGGCCATTTTTCAAAATGGCCGCCTTCTACCAAAAGTGTCATAAGACAGTGTGCCATGCTAATAGTATTCGAATACCAAATATGAACAAAATCGCACCACTAATTTTCAAGTTACAGCAAAAATCGTAAAATAACGAGTAAAGGCCGAGTAAAATACGTTTAAATGGCGGCCATTTTTCAAATTCTATTTTTTGTCATCAGAAGAAGTAATATGCTTTTTTTATAGTATTCACATACCAAATATGAACAAAATCGCTCCACTACTTTTCGAGTTATAGTAAAATATGTTAGAATGGCGGCCATTTTTCAAAATGGCCGCCTTCTACCAAAAATGTCATTAACCAGTGTGCCATGCTTATAGTATTCACAAACCAAATATGAACAAAATAGCTCCATTACTTTTTGAGTTAAAGTAAAATATGTTAAAATGGCGACCATTTTTCAAGATGGCGGCAAATTTTCAAAATGGTCTCCTCCTACCAAAAGTGTCATTAGACAGTGAGCCATGCTTATAGTATTCACATACCAAATGTGAACAAAATCGCTCCAATACTTCTTGAGTTATAGCAAAAATCGTAAAATAACGAGTAAAGGCTGCCATTTTTCAAGATGGCTGCCATGTGCTATTTTAATTTCTACATTTCTAGCTTTATCAATGTCTTATATAATTTTTTTACATTTAAAACATAATGCTATCACAGTTTTACATATTGCACCTAAATTACTGTAAAATCGGCACTAAAATGGCCGCCATTTTTAAATGAGTGGCCATTTTGAAAATCAGCTTTTTAGCAGAACTTCTACCCCCATAGGGTATATGTGTACAAAATATGAACAAAATCGGGCCAACGGTATTTGAGTTATTGCCCGGACGGACGGACAGACAGACGGACGGACGGACGGACGGACGGACGGACGGACGGACGGACGTACGTACGGACGGACGTACGTACGGACGGACGGACGGAGGCGTTCCCTATATCCCTCCGAACTTCGTTCGATGGGATAATTATGGCAAGTAATGCAACATAGTGTACTCTTAAAGAAACACAACTATGGTTGAGACAGGTGAAATCTGGTCACATTTGGTGACAGGTTGTGCACTTTCCAAAACATATGTTGCTACCCATAGTAAGGCATTCAGATCACATGGTGCAGCCAATAATAAAATAATCAAGCAACAAGACAAACGATAGAAGAGAGTTAGTAGGCCAATTACATTCACGCATATAATCAACAAAATGAGAAGAACCAAATGCCTCATTCAGATGAATATGTAGTTAGAACTGTCATCCTGACGTCTAATGTGACCAATCTTAATTGATAGCAAACTGGGATAGATATTTCATACCTGTAACCTTAGGCTTGAATTTGCCTTACCATTTAAAGTCCTGACAGCTTCGCCCTTCTTTTATTTAAATCTTTTGGGAAAAAATTTGGTCCAAAAGTTTTAATAGAATAGGCTTTTACTTAGCTTTTGTTTTATGATTAACAATGTATCGCGCTTATTTATGTAGTTCATCGGCTAGTATATTTATAACATCCTACTAAAGCAGATCCCTTTCTTGTTTGACATTTTACCGATCAAACCATACCATAGAAGTCAGAATCATATGATGAGCAACCTTCACAAAAAACCTCTAAACTTTATGATAAAGTTCATTGATTGGATTACCGGGAGGACCTAAAATTTTACTATGAAATCACTTATATTTTATATGTGTACTCAAATATTTACCTACACTGTTTTGCAAAAGTAATCATCACAAATTTTGATCAACCTTTTCCACCATTCAATCAAGAGAAAATTACAGTAGCACCCTAGGATGTTAAATTTTCTTACCATCATATTTTGCGATATCTTCATCTGCATCATCTTTTTTGGCCTCTGACACAATCCACCTGCAGGCAAAGTAAATAAGGAAAAGTTCTACAGGGTGTCCGTAAATCATCTTTATGAAGTGTATAGAGACTTCATGGACACCCTGTATAATCAACGTTTCAACAATTGAAAACTGAAAATCAATTTATCCTCTTTTTAGAAATCAAGGTGTTTCCATTGTTTGGTAATACAAACAGTCAAACCTGCCTGATCTGATCACAATTTAGAACATGATGAGTTAATAAGATTAATAAGACAAAATAAGGAGTAAGAAAAAATGCTCACAATGAGAGCTGTTCAGATTAGTTGTTTAGATATACAGGTTTAACTGTACCATATTCAATGATAATCCCAAAAAATTGCAATTCTGCAGAAAAAGAAAAGGTCAGTCTTTCAGAAATTGGTTATTCTGCAGTAATAAATAGAATTCTTGATTGTATGGAATGTCCAAATTTCATGCATGTTACGTTCAACTCTTTCTTTCAACTTGGTGGGATTGCATCAATTCTAACCTGTGATAAAATCACTGAATGAAAGACAATAAAAAAAGCTTACTTCTTTTTGAATGTGGCTTCATCATCAAATGTTTCTGCTAGATAGACATTTCCAGTTGCTGTAGGGGGTTTGTACACAACCTAGATATAATACAGCAAGGAAACAATATTAAACAAACAAGAGACAATTTCAAAAGACAAGAGACAATTTCAACAGACATCATTTTCTCTTGGTTGTCTCACCAAATCTATAGTTCTGAGGAATTTTGCAATTGTTTCAATGTTAAACAAGCCATTACCATGCAAAATGTCACTACCTGCCAGTTGTTACAGATGTGACCATTGACAAGTGAATGCTGTTACAAACACCAAATGCAGTTACAAACACCAAATGCTGTTACAAACATTGAACACCAACCATCGAACACCAGCCACAAAAAAGTGTGGTACTAAAAATTCCATTTTGCCTGCTGTCTTATTATTTGTTTTCATGTTTCACTCTACTATACCTTGCATTTGGTGTTCATGAGCAACCCATTTTGCTTATCAGTAATGATTATGTTATTTGTTTTCATGTTTCTGCTGCTTACTTTCAAAAAAAATATTCTAAACAATACAATTAGACAAATAGAATGTCTTATGCATTTCTAGGGGTTAGGTATAGTAGAGTGTGATTTCAGGAATGAGTAAAACATTCCATATCAATTTTCTACAGGCTTTATGAATAATGATGTACACATTGAGGGGTGTTCAGATATATAGGTTTCACTGTATAATATATAGTATGCTCACAACCTGCAGATAACATAATATGTTAATTATGATAAATACATGTTGATTATGCAGGTGAATTCTATCAATCAACACCTTATTCTCAAGAGAATACAAAGTCCTTATTCCCAAGGATATCCCATTGTTTTTGTCTTGTATCAGGATCAAAACATGGGCCAAAAATTGTTCTGTACAAACAAGTCATAGCTAATAATTCTGAAATATTTGGTCAACTACTGATTTAACACTAACAGATTCTAGTAGGCTTTAACATTCTACTGAACAGATCTTTTAAATTAAATATTTCTCGCAGTAGGGTATATTTTCATGCAAGGTGACTGAATCAGAAAGATATTTCATATTATACCACTCTAAGTCAAATTACAGTTGTATAACTTGGGTCTATAACAACGATATATAGTGGACAGTGGTATATCGTCATCGTATACACTCCAGCGTATACCACTGTAGAAGTGCATTCTGGCCGGGAACTAATGAATATAGAGCGAAGAACAACGTGTATGTTTTGTTACACAGACTGTTGTGTCCCTCGAATGAGCGGAGCGAATGAGGAGTTCCGACGCTCCAAAATTTTCATGATTTCCTAGAATCAAGTGACGTCTTAAATGGTTCCGGCATGATTTCCTAGAATCAAGTGACGTCATAAATGGTTCGAGATCAACATCGGCATTATTGAGTTGGCTATGGGATATTTTTATGGTTTTTAATCGTTATGATTGTGTTCGAATCAACTGTAGTTGAACTTAGAGTGGCATAATAAGATTATATAATGATTCATTCTGTATATCGTGCATTTTATACTCTCGTGAGAATATAATATATTCACTCGTTCGCTACGCTCACTTGTGAATATATCATATACTCACTCGAGTATAAACACGATATACAGAATGAACCATTATATAACCTCATAGTATCTCATACTTAAGTGGGTCTGGAGTAGATATAACCCGGGAATATATATCATATATGAGGAGCGGGCAGGATATATTGTATATGTCCCGCTCCAAGCCAAATGCGGGCAGATATAATATATCCATCCCGCTCCCAGGAATTTTTCAAAAGTTTAAAAAAGTTTAAAAATCAAACATTTTTAAAAGTTTTAGATTTTAAAGTTTACATTTTTTTAAATTTAAATGTTACAATTTCATTGTATTGAACAAAAAGAATATTACGAAAATGGTAAATATAAATTGTGTTTTTACGATAGGCCTATCTTGTCATTTGAAAAAGGTGGAAAAGGTTATATCTACCCTTAACCCACTCAAGTATGAGATACACCAGTTATGTACGGTCGGTTTTGGATATAGGGTATATCCCTCGCGGTCCCTCGGGGAGATATAATAAATATATCCCTCAGGATATACCCAATATCCAAAACCTCCCAGTACATAACCCTTATGTATCCAATAGTTGACATCAAATGTGATAATGTGTTCTATAGGAATATCTTATGGTTTTGAAAAATATCATTTAAATCCATGAGTGGATATTGATATCTTCACGAGTGAGCGTGGCAGATGAGTGAAGATATTGATATCCATGAGTAGATATATTTGATTGATTTTGAAAAACCATAGGATTGTCCGTTTATCCCATGGGAAATCTTAGCCCAGAGAAAAAATATTGAGAAAATATTTGAATTTTTTAAAAAAAAGTCTAGAATTAGGGATTTCAAAGTGTTTAGACAGAGGTCTTCAAAAAGGTATAATGACTTGGTACCAACCTTGGGATTGACATCAGTAACAGGTGGACTAGCATCATCCTGATCTTCTTCAGCATCTTCGATCATTTCATCGAGATCTTCCAAGTCGAAATCATCCTCTTGACCATGTATGGGTGTGATAAGTAGCACACTCAATGAGAGTAGAAGGAAGTATGAGAACTTCATTTTAGTAGTGTCCAAATATAATTTTAGAATTTAATATTGTAATTTCTCTGTTATTTCTTCAAGGTTTGACGAATCTGAAATAAATAAATTAATGAATCTGTGATCATAAAAACATTTGTACAAAACCATTTATAAACCATGTAGTAACATGCAAAATGTCACCACCTACCATTTGTTAAACATTTTGAATGCTGGACACCAGTGGACACCAACCGCCAAATAACTTCATAAAAAATACCATAACATTGCACAAGTATGTCACCACTTTTGGTAGTGACATAATGATAGGATACACGTGTATGTAGAACTGGCGAAGAATATACCAATTAGCCTTAATATTTGTTGATGCAAAACTATATAGCATATATATGTACTCCCATGTTGAAAAGGAGAGCTTATTGATGGCTCTACTTGTGATACCATCAAGCATGTGTCTATGGCTTCCATCTGCTACAGATAAATGCCTTCATAGGCTTGATTTAAATGTTTTAAAAGCAGTTTTCTGTTAGAATCGGTCTAATTATTGATTCAATAAAGCTGAAGTTATCTATGAAAATCATATTTTAGTACTGTACTCTATTTGATGATTGGTAAACTTGTAAATTTTTAAATTTCACAAATTTTGCATTTCAAGTGTTATAAGAAAGTCTTTACCACTATCCTCACCCCTCTATTTTCTTCACATCTAACCCTATCCACAAAACAGCAAGTGTAAACTGCAACCAGACTCTCAATTTTGCTACATATAATTAGCTACATTATAATGAAAATCCATTTGAACCCACTTGAAATTGAGAAAAATCATGAAAAATTGGCATATTTTGACCAATTAATTCAATTTTGATCTGATTGTGAAAATGAGAATTTTGCACCCACCAGGCAAATAATCCTGGGGAGATCACCGCATTATAACGAATTTTAACCATTAAGAGCCAGAGTATGAACTTGGAGCCTGGTTGCAGTTTGCACACTTTGTCCACAAATAGGTTAAATTCACATATTTGACACCCTATATACACAGGCCTACTTAACAGAGGCTGAGGGAAAAGTAGACCTAAGTAGTAAACACAGTACAAAAGATTGATTGTTTACTACATTTAAACTACTTTTCCCTCAGCCTATGATACGAAATGACATGAAACAGACCATTGAAGCCCTATATTTAATAATATATAAATTGGAGAAATTCAATCCTAACTGAAGCTTACCTCTTTCAATTTGATAGAACAGCATTTGTTTACCTCCAATAAGCTGTTAGAGAATCGTGATGGCTGAAACTGAAATACCGAAATCAGCTGCTCACTTTATATCTCCTAACTTGTGATTCTCTGCCAAAACCACCATTTTGATTTCTCGCTAAAAATGTCTACTCAGGATGAAGATAAGTTTTGATCCACACAGACTCAGCTGATAACATACAGATATTCGCAAACAGAGTATGGACCGAGATGTAGGGAACATTTGGAGATACATACAAAGCAAGCAGCTGATTTCAGTACTTCAGTTTCAGTCATCACAGTTCTCAAGCAGCCTATAGAGGGCTAGCAAAGGCTGTTCTATCAGGTAAGCAATCTGTGGTAAACTGAAGCTTATGCAAATCCTGCAATTATCCAAACACAGGCCCAGGAACAGGAGTTTAACCCCCATTCAATGTGTATACATTACTCATGGGGTGTAGCCATTAGAGGTGTAACCCCCGAGTCCGTAACTTGAGTACAGCTCGTCAGAGCTGCCTATACATTAGATCGAGTTGTCCTCTAGAAACTCGCAATCTATTTCAACTCGCGAGCTAGCTATAACTCGAGTAAACTCGCGAGTTTTGCCTATCTTGCATGCATGTAAAATAAATTTGGGTCCCAGAGATTGTGCAACATTACTTCATAAGGAGAATAAATATAACAATCGCCGTATTTAGCGTCAGTCACCTAAAAAACACTCTCAAAGCTTCACAAAGTTCAACAAATATCGAGGAATGACAAGTTACATCAAAAAATCAGAAAAAGATTGACTATTGAAAAATTGAATAAAAAATGGTCAACTTATTCTCACGTCGTTACACGACTTTTACATAAAAAAGATGATCTATCATTAAATTAAGATCATAAGTCATAACTTTAGATCGATATCCAGCAGTCTTTAGTAGAAATAATGAAGATAATCTGGGAAAATCATTCATTAATTTGAGGGACCCTTCTGGGTTTTCTAAAATATAGATCTATTGTTTGGTTAAATTCTTGGTTCATTTTAGCGATCTCTAGTCCTTACCGTATGCGGTGATGTCTATACCAGATCGTTTTAATTGAAATATGAGAAAACTGCAATGAATACTACACTTTCTTATGGCCCCGACGTGTTAAACAGCTTTTAGATGTGACTAAACCAGAGAAACTTGCCTCTAGAAGCTACAGTAATTTTGTGTACCCAGTTTTATGTACTGGACGAAATGAATTAACTTGAGTTTTGGAAATATTTGGCAAGTTGAACTCGAGTTTGATTTTTCTGGCGAGTAACACCTCTAGTAGCCAAGAATCCCACCTCATCCCCCCCAAAAAAAGAAACCCCACAATACCGATTCACTTCGCTCGTAATGATACAAACCCCAAAAACCGTGCCCCTTGACTTTTGCTGGCTACGTCCCTACACAGAGAGTGGGGGGAGGGGGCTGAGCTTTTGTTGTGCCTGTAGATCTATATCCACATTTTATTCACACAAAACCTTTCTGGCACTTTGCAAGCCTTGTGATGTTTTAGTTCTAGCTCAGAATGAGAAAACTTGCAAATCCTAGCAAGAACTTACCTCAGTATGCATACAACGGAAATCACTTCAGATTCATCAAAATATAAGACCATAGAATTATATTACCGCCTCAGAACGTGGTCTGATCTAATTCGCCGGTATCAACAAGAAAGTGAAAATGAAGGTTGAAAGCCGCTCTCAGATTGGACAAAATAAAAATCGAAGAAAATTGTCGAAACTTTTGGATAAACATTTTGATAACATTTCAAGGTTTGGATCAAGAATAATGTGACGAATCGACCATAGATTACACATTTTACATGTAGACTATCAGCTGTTTGCTGATTTTGCATGAATATGACCCAATTTGACCTTTAAACTTACCTAATTTTGTGATTCATCAGCCAATGATGATGTGTTTTTCACGTGAATCTGGAAATTTCTACAAACTTCCGGTTTATTTACGTAAAATAGTTCCAGGGAATCAGTACACTAAATGCTAATTTTCTTTAAAAAAGCTTTAATTATCTCATCATTTATGTCAAATTATTTTCCTTTAATAAGGAGAGACTATATATGGTGGTATGATGAAAGAAATGCCTCCTTAATTTGATCAAATTTTTCAATCGCAAGAATATATGAGTAATTTAACCAAGCAGTATAAATATCGTCAGCCTCCATTGTCGACAAGCACAAAGAAAAACAAATCTAGAACATAACACAGATACTACTTTATAAAAGGTAAGTACATATGATTATGAGTTTATGACGCCATTATCCTCACACAGAAATATATTTGCGAAGAATAGTTTATTGTATGAACTTAGAAGTGAATATCAAGTATCCTTAGTTCACTGAATACTGAAAAAGAATTTCTTGAAAGCCTGATTGAGAACTGCGCCATTTTATTTTCTCTTGACGGAAAATCAATATGATAATCATTTAAATTTTGCTAATTCTCCGTTGTATCTATGGGATTGTTTTGGTCAAAATTTCATGATAAAGGAGAATCCACTTTCTCAAATAGGGTATATTGTGTCAGAAATGCACTTATTTAGCCCTAATAAAGAGTTTTACTGACGCCCTAAATCGACGCCATTTTATAATTTTTGTTGCACAAGCCTGATCAAGGTTCAACATAATGACGTCACTGGGTTATAGGATGTTTAGTGCAATGTCTATTTTGATTCAAATGACATCAGTGACTCAAGATAAGGTGAAGTGTTTACTCAATATATGAATGTGGCCTTTGTTAGATCTTGGAGCAATGTGTTACTAATACAATAGTAGTGGATCTAGATACAATATCGCTAATTTGTCTTGACCCCAATTGTATCTTGCTTCTTGTAGAAATAACCATGCAGATCTTCGTAAAGACCCTGACGGGAAAGACCATCACACTTGAGGTCGAAGCTGGTGATACCATTGAAAATGTAAAAGCCAAGATCCAAGACAAAGAGGGAATCCCTCCAGATCAGCAGCGTCTCATCTTTGCCGGAAAACAGCTTGAAGATGGCCGTACTCTCTCAGATTACAACATCCAGAAGGAGTCTACTCTCCATCTTGTATTGCGTCTTAGAGGAGGTATGCAGATCTTCGTCAAGACCCTCACTGGAAAGACCATCACACTTGAGGTCGAAGCTGGTGATACCATTGAAAATGTAAAAGCCAAGATCCAAGACAAAGAGGGAATTCCTCCAGATCAGCAACGTCTTATCTTTGCTGGTAAGTATTTAGATTTTTTGGCATGAAAGGTGTAACATTGTAATTAGAATGGATGTGTGATGCTGTGCTCGAAATAGACGTCCGACATCGGCCATTGGTCGACAAAATTATTTATGGCTTGTTTTGATAAAAACACTCAGACATTTTGGCCTGCCAGACATTTGTGGCATTTGTTAGATTGCCCATGCATAGAACTTACATTTCAGTCCGGAAATCCTGAAAAATGTTTAAATTCTCCCAAATAATAAGAATGGTAACCATTCTAATAAAAAATAATATATTATTGTAAAAATCTTTAGTTTTCCTGAAATAAAGTGTTTACTTCGGGGATTTTTAGAGCCAGAAATATTCTAAAATTGAAACAATTTTTTGTTGGCCTGCTCGCTAGATCTGATTCTCTCTTTAAGTTGATTCAAAGGCAAGTAGTTGAACCTGAATAATAAGACATCTAAACACTAATGTGCAATAATATATAGAAAAATATATTCATATTGCTCACAAATGACATGTATATCTTGAATTGCTTGTGAACTGGCTTACAAAGTCTGTAACCTCTTATTTTTTGATGCTTCTCTGCTATGTTACTTAAAAAAAACCATGGTGGATAGACCTCAAAATACAGGGTGGGCATAAGCTTATTGCACGAAACAATAAATAATCTGAAATATTCAAATATCATTTGTATGCAATATGAATATATTTTTCAGGTTCAACTGCTTGCCTTTGAAGCAGCCTAACAGACTATAATTTTAAAAATCATGAATTCAGAAATCTTCACGTGGATTTCTGAAAATTGGCGAAGACATGAATTGGCTAATTTTATCAATTGGCCACATTAAATTGGTCTCAAAATTAAAGTTGACTAACAGTATTAAAATTTCTAGTCCATTTCACTCTTTTATTGCATCAGTAAAGCCTAAAAATTATGAAATCAAAAGAGTATTTATGCAGTGATCTCCCCAGCATTAAGTAAGTAGGCGGATCACCCACCTGAGATTATAAAAATAGGCTTGCAGCCTTGCACCCACCTGTAAATTCATTCGCACCTACTTGAAAATGAGAAAAATCATGAAAAATGGGCATATTTTCACCAATTTTGGTCTGAATGTGAAAATGGCAAGTGTGAAAATGGCAAATAGCAAGAGCAATTGATTTACTGGTGACCTATATAGGAGTATGCATGACCTCTAAAATTCATAATGCAAAAAGTTATTTTTTGTCTGTTTATCATATTAGAATCGTAACAAAGACCCCAATTTTATGCTTTGTGTCAAATATATGACCTCAAATTTTATTCTGGCCATTGCCAATGAACAATGAACAGAGTAAAATTTTCGGTCATATATTACACCATAAATCATAAAATCTTTATTCCTTAAATATATGTGGTTTGTTTATGATATGGATATATTTTTCAATATATTGTTACACATTTGTCTGCTGATTTCTTATTTTTTAGGTTTTGCTGATGCAATAAACAGTGAACTGACTTGGGGAGTTGGGGGGGGGGGGGGTTGTTTGAGGCTATCTGATATTTAATTCTGAGAGACCATGCAGTTATTGACAAATTTCTTATGTACCCTTCTGCATTTAATATTTATTTATCCAAATAATATTTCATCAGCTCAGTTCTGTTTTCTTCTGTCTTCAGGAAAACAGCTTGAAGATGGCCGTACTCTCTCAGACTACAACATCCAGAAGGAATCTACCCTTCATCTTGTATTGCGTCTTAGAGGTGGTATGCAGATCTTCGTAAAGACCCTCACTGGAAAGACCATCACACTTGAGGTTGAAGCTGGTGATACCATTGAAAATGTAAAAGCCAAAATCCAAGACAAAGAGGGAATTCCCCCAGATCAGCAGCGTCTTATCTTCGCCGGAAAACAGCTTGAGGATGGCCGTACACTATCAGACTACAACATCCAGAAGGAATCTACTCTCCATCTTGTATTGCGTCTTAGAGGTGGTATGCAGATCTTCGTAAAGACCCTCACTGGAAAAACCATCACACTTGAGGTTGAAGCTGGTGATACCATTGAAAACGTAAAAGCCAAAATCCAAGACAAAGAGGGAATTCCCCCAGATCAGCAGCGTCTCATCTTTGCCGGAAAACAACTTGAGGATGGTCGTACTCTCTCAGACTACAACATCCAGAAGGAATCTACTCTCCATCTTGTATTGCGTCTTAGAGGAGGTATGCAGATCTTCGTAAAGACCCTAACCGGAAAGACCATCACGCTTGAGGTTGAAGCTGGTGATACCATTGAAAATGTAAAGGCCAAAATCCAAGATAAAGAGGGAATTCCCCCAGATCAGCAGCGTCTCATCTTTGCCGGAAAACAACTTGAGGATGGTCGTACTCTCTCAGACTACAACATCCAGAAGGAATCTACTCTCCATCTTGTATTGCGTCTTAGAGGAGGTATGCAGATCTTCGTTAAGACCCTAACCGGAAAGACCATCACACTTGAGGTTGAAGCTGGTGATACCATTGAAAATGTAAAAGCCAAAATCCAAGACAAAGAGGGAATTCCTCCAGATCAACAGCGTCTTATCTTTGCCGGAAAACAGCTCGAGGATGGCCGTACACTATCTGACTATAACATCCAGAAGGAATCTACTCTCCATCTTGTATTGCGTCTAAGAGGAGGTATGCAGATCTTCGTCAAGACCCTCACTGGAAAGACCATCACACTTGAGGTCGAAGCTGGTGATACAATTGAAAATGTGAAGGCCAAAATCCAAGACAAAGAGGGAATTCCTCCAGATCAACAGCGTCTTATCTTTGCCGGAAAACAGCTTGAGGATGGCCGTACACTATCGGACTATAACATCCAGAAGGAATCCACCCTCCATCTTGTATTGCGTTTAAGAGGAGGTATGCAGATCTTCGTCAAGACCCTCACTGGAAAAACCATCACACTTGAGGTCGAAGCTGGTGATACCATTGAAAATGTGAAGGCCAAAATCCAAGACAAAGAGGGTATTCCTCCAGACCAGCAGCGTCTCATCTTTGCTGGAAAACAACTTGAGGATGGTCGTACACTATCTGACTACAACATCCAGAAGGAATCCACCCTCCATCTTGTATTGCGTCTTAGGGGTGGTATGCAGATCTTCGTAAAGACCCTCACTGGAAAGACCATCACACTTGAGGTCGAAGCTGGTGATACCATTGAAAATGTGAAGGCCAAAATCCAAGACAAAGAGGGGATCCCTCCAGATCAACAGCGTCTCATCTTTGCTGGTAAACAGCTTGAAGATGGCCGTACTCTCTCAGACTACAACATCCAGAAGGAGTCTACCCTCCATCTTGTGTTGCGTCTTAGAGGTGGCATGCAGATCTTTGTCAAGACCCTCACTGGAAAGACCATCACACTTGAGGTTGAAGCTGGTGATACCATTGAAAATGTAAAGGCCAAAATCCAAGACAAAGAGGGAATCCCTCCAGATCAGCAGCGTCTTATCTTTGCCGGAAAACAACTTGAGGATGGTCGTACTCTCTCAGACTACAACATCCAGAAGGAGTCAACCCTCCATCTTGTATTGCGTCTAAGAGGTGGTATGCAGATCTTCGTAAAGACACTCAC